CCATTGTAATCATTAAAATCACTGAAATAAAATGTATTTTGGTTGTACTCATTACCCAACACGCTTTGTTAGTGCCATCTTAATTGTACCCAGTTATTGTTTTATTTTTTTATTCTGCCCAGATCTGGCTTTTCCTATACATGCATTGTATAAATCCATGAAGAGCTGTGTTTTATGACTTTCTTAAAGGGATATAAGCACTAGAACCATAACTCATGTCCTTGCACAGGTTATGGTGCAAAGGGCTACCTTTCCCTGTCTTCCTTCATCTTGTTTATTTGTGCAGCAATGTTTTTCTAAAACATTTGCAGCTGTAAATTACCTCATTTTAATTAAAGTACAGTCACTTTGACCATACAAATCTTTAAAAAAAATTTTTTTTTAAATCTACATTTAAATAGTAAGTGTAAACTACTAGTTGATTTTCATAGCCAATTTGTATAATAAATGTATGAATGTGTGCAGGGCTAAACTGAGAATTATTATTAGATGCAGGCATTTAACCCCTTAAGGACCGAGGACGGTTCAGGACCGTCATCGGCATTTTTGCCTTGCCGACCGATGACGGTCCTGAACCGTCCTAACGGTCTGGGGGTACTTACCTGATCGCCGTCGTTCCCCCGGCGGCGATCAGTGTTCCTCCGGTTGTGGGGAGACTGCCTGCAGCCCAGACAGTCTCCCCACGGCAGATTAGGACCCCTGTGGCCATGTGATCGCTTAACACAGCGATCACATGGTCACAATAGGTGTCCATGTGCTGCCTGCAGGGGGGACTGTCCTGACAGGACAGTCTCCCTGCATGTGTAAAATCAAAAAAAAAAATAAAAGTTAATGGTAATAAAAAAAAAATAATTATATATGTGTATATATGATATATAGACATATATTATATCTATATAATATATGTCTATATATCATATATATATAATGTCATACTAAGTGTATTTTTATATTAATATGTACTTATATTAATATAAAATACACTTATAATTAAATTACACACGTATATATATAATATATATAATAACTATATATATTGTATATATATATTATAAAATATAAATAATAAGTAATTTAAATTAAATAAAATTTTTTAAAATAATAAAAAAAATTAAAAAAAATTATATATCTATATGAAATTTTATTCTAACTGTATTTTAAAATTAATATATATATATTTATATCAAAATACACTTAGAATGAATTTGTATATATATCTATGTATATAAAAAAAATAAAAATAATAAGAAATATACATATGTCCATATACAAAATTACATAAATAATTATATAAATATACACGTAGACTTCAAATATATAAATATGCATATATATTTAAATTCTACGTGCGTATTTATGTAATATTTTTACATAATTCAGTAATTTTATTGATTGCAATTTGAGGGACCTGCCTGCCAACCCAGGCCGAAATTCCAGAGAATTTAATTTGCTAGCACTGTATTTTACCCTGTAACGTTCTACGACACCCTAAAACCTGTACATGGGGGGTACTGTTTTACTCGGGAGACTTCGCTGAACACAAATATTAGTGATTCACAACAGTAAAACATATCACAGCGATGATATTGTCAGTGAAAGTTACTTTTTTTGCATTTTTCACACACAAACAGCACTTTTACTGATGATATAATTGTTGTGATACGTTTTCCAGTTTTTAAACACTAATATTTGTGTTCAGCGATGTCTCCCCGAGTAAAACAGTACCCCCCATGTACAGGTTTTATAGCATTTTTGAAAGTTACAAGGTCAAATATATGGGTCAAATATTTTTACATTGAAAATGGCCAGGTTGGTTACGTTGCCTTTGAGAGCGTATGGTAGCCCAGGAATGAGAATTACCCCCATGATGGCATACCATTTGCAAAAGAAGACAACCCAAGGTATTGCAAATGGGGTATGTCCAGTCTTTTAGTAACCACTTGGTCACAAACACTGGCCAAAATTAGCGTTCAATTTAGTTTTTTTACTTTTTTCACACACAAACAAATATGAATGCTTACTTTGGCCAGTGTTTTCGACTAAATGGCTACTAAAAAAGACTGGACATACCCCATATTGAATACCCTGGGTTGTCTACTTTAAAAAAAATATGTACATGTGGGGTGTTATTCAGAGATTTATGACAGATAATAGTGTTACAATGTCACTATTGATAAATTTTAAAAATGTATGTTTTGAAACCGCAATATCCTACTTGTACCTATAGCCCTATAACATGCAAAAAAAGCAAAAAAGCACGTAAACACTAGGTATTTTTAAACTCAGGACAAAATTTTGAATCTATTTAGCAGTTTTTTCATTCGCTTTTGTAGATGAGTAAAAGATTTTTCAAGTAAAAGTCAAAAAACATGTATTTTTTCAATTTTTCATCAGATTTTTGTATTTTTTTTAAATTAAAATACATGAGATTATATAAATAATGGTATGTAAAGAAAGCCCCTTTTGTCCTGAAAAAACAATATATAATTTGTATGGGAACAGTAAATGAGAAAGCGGAAAATTACAGCCAAACACAAACACCACAAAAGTGTAAAAATATTCCTGGTCGCAAATGTACAACATCGCAAAAACAGTCCAGTCCTTAAGGGGTTAAAGACAGTGCTGCTCGAATTGTGGTGAGGCCAGAGAGAGGGGCGTGTTATATCATCACCAATGACTAGCACACCCCTCAAAATGAGCATTTTAGTTCCATACACATCCAGGACAACCCACGAGACAAGTCCTATGGAAGTGCTCTCACATGATGGAAATACCCTGTGTTTGATTTAAATATTTAATTTTATTTGATTTAAATGTATTTACTGGTGAATTGTTTAATAGTGCCCCATTAGCAAAATGCCATACAACAAAGATCAATAAAGGGTGTTGTGAATTTGTGAGAGAGGATGAATGTTTTGGAGGTTTGCATATTTTGTAGATTGCATGTGTGTTGCAGTGGGCATGTGAAAGAGGGAGCTTATGTATGTCTAGGGGCTGAAGTGTGTGTGTGTGTGTGTGTGTAGGGTGGGATGTGGGTTTTAGGGTGTGATTTAAAAAAAAATAATAAATTATTCCCCTTGTAACCTTTGGTCAGGGATGGGGGATATACTGGTAGTCTAGTAGGCAGAGTGCACCCTTAGGTACAGACCATAACACACTCACTCAGGAATGCTGGAGCTCATGGGAGAGTGTTGCTACAGTAACAATTCATGGTTCCAGGGCCACTGTCTATTCCATGGATCCTAGGTTTTTTATTAGTGTTTTTAAATAATAACTGGAGGGTACATTTAACTATAAATATTGGCTCAAATGAGTTGGAATTATTAGATCTAAAAAAATGTGGATAATGTAAACAAAAAAAAAAAAAACACTCCCCATAATAATATACAAAGGGAGCAACTTTTAAGATAGAAAAGTAAGATAATTTAGGACAATTTAAGGAGAAGAAATATCCAACGAATATTCTTAGAACAAGCTTTTAAAGAAGTAAACAAGATCCCAGGAACAACTATTAAAAGAAAGGAAAGAGGGTGGGGATCAGTTTTATAATTCAGTTGTGTTTGACTTTAATGTAGAGCATGGTAAAATTAAAAACATTATAAAAACAAAAGTTTGGCTTTATGAATGTTAATTGAGTACCTTAAAAAAAGTTTACCCACAAATAATATAAATATATTATTATTTCAGGGTGCCCCTCATTTTAAAACAAGTTTGGTAAAATATCTTTTAAAGAAAGAAAAGGAAACACATTTTTAAATGAAGAAATAGATGTTAGTCATGTATAGAATGTAGAAATATTACATTACAATATGTTAAAGCGGCACTGTCATGCCAAACTTTCCTTTCTTTATTCGATTCCTCTTCTCTCCCTCTGTCAGGAACTGTTCTTCATTTCTTCCTGTCTGCTCTAGAATGCTGTGACAGGTAAATTTAGAGACTTACCTGTCAGTCTCTTAATTTACCTGTCAGAGCACTCTGGTTGGCTTAAACCAACCAATCAGAGCGCTCTGAGCTTAATTGCAGGGTGTGGGAAGGCTTTATTATTATTATATTTATAAGCCTTTCTCTGCCCTGCGGAGCTCAGTCTGCGTGGTGCCCTCCATGGGTGAAGATAGATTATTTTTTAGTGTCTGGTTTGTTTCCATCCGGGTTTTTTTTTTTTTCCGCTCGTGTTTATTTTATTTTCATTGTCCGACGGGTATTATGGACTCAAATGGCAAGTTATTTTTTATTTACAGGGATTTCGTTTTATTGTGTGTGTCCCCCCCCCCCTTCACTATTTTTAGGTTATAGGAAGGGTTATAAAAATATAGGAAGAGGTAGGGTTATAAAAATGTTTTGGGTGTGGGGGGGGGGTGACTTGTAGCTTGGGGACCCCTTGTCACCGGGGGGGAGGTTAAGTTTCATTTAGGGCCCCCACCTGCCACTCATGGGTTGGGGCCAGGGGGGAGGACAATAGATGCAGCCGATGTGGCACGAATTCCAATCCGAATAAAGTCCTGAATTGCATTCTAACATGAATGGAGAAACTGGTCTCATTCTGTTAGAACGAAATTTGGTAGTTCCGCCGACGTTCTGTCTAAGTGACAGGACATTTGGGAATACTGACAGAAAGCATCCTGAGATCACGGATCAAAGGTGAGAATTGTGGGAAAATGGCTTTGATCACTGGAAACGAAGCATACTTTGCTCTTCCGCTGGTCATAGCTGGTCAGGCGTAGGAAACCTCCATAAGACAAAGTAGTCCCCACTTTGTCTTATGTTTTAAAGAAAATTAGAGGAGACATATCCTGACAGAGGGAGAGAAGAGGAATCGATTAAAGAAAGGTAAGTTAGGTAAAAAAATATCAAATTAAAGAACAGATTACCTGATTCATTTATAATGAAATTTAGCAACTCACGTGTCTTACTAGACCCGCTCTACTAAGTACCTAATATATATATATATATATATATAAAATCTATATCTTGATTATGATACTTTATTAAAATGTTCTGATACACTGTGATTTTCTACTCCTTTCTTAGTATAATGTGTGTGTGTGTGTATATATATATATATATATATATATATATATTTTAAGAAAGGAGTAGAAAATCACAGTGTATCAGAACATTTTAATAAAGTATCATAATCAAGATCCTAGCAGAAATGTCATAGGAATTAAGAAAGTTAAAATAAATTGGAGAGGTTGGAGTTTTATAGGAACGATAGGTCAAGAGGAGATGAAGTGGATATATCATCTGGAGACCTTGGCTCCTGCAGGACTAAATATAGATTTTAAATGATTAAATTTTTTACAATTGTTAGAATTAATATTTTATATGTATATGTTCTTAATAGGTTGACATATCATAAATAGAAAACAGCAAATACAGGGTGCGCCAAGAACCAAATAAATATAATTGGAAAGGCAAAACGATACCAGAAAAACAAGCAAAGTCTCTAGTTCACAGGTATTTTCTTCAAAAATTTGCCAGACGTCTTGGGTCAAATCGTCATAAGCAAATGTAAAAGAGGAAACAGAGGGGACCAATGGTGCAATAACTTGAGGAAATGTGGCCACAGACAATACTAAGGTTAAGAAGTGCCAACTCACATATATGAGAGCTATAACCAGCTCAAGTTAAAACAGCACAGTAATATATATAATTATATTTTTTATATTATTTATCAAACATGAACGAGATGTGTGAATTTAAAGGACCATTATAGGCACCCAGACCACTTCAGCTCAATGATCTGGGTCTGGGTGCCAGTTCCATCTAGTGTTAACCCTGCAGCTGTTTACACTAGGGTTAATCCAGCCTCTTGAGGTGCTTTCGCGCTTCTCACTGTGAAAATCACAATGTGAAGACACTGTGTTACAATCAAGGTTACACATGGTAAGGCAAATCAGACCGACTCAATAATCGAGCAATGAGCCAAGCCATGTGCAGAGGTTAAACAGGCAAACAGTAATTACAAGAACTTGAGTCAATTAGAATCATGACTGCACAGGAAACCTAGGTCTAGGTTAACCCTTCCTTGTTCGTCATGACAGATTACTGTAAAATGTATTATTGTATATTTCTGCTGCCCCTTTAAATGTGAGCTTGTTTGAAAAGTGTTGTGGTTTTCACTGTTGTGTTAAATCATCGTGAGCAGCTACTGGAAAATCCTTAAATATCTGAGGCCAATTATCCGGAAGTTACACCACTTTGATTACATGAACTATTTTATGGATTTTGTGACCTTTTGAAAAATTCATTTAATTCTGATCTAATTTTAATGCTGAAGTAGCAATAAATGTGAATAATTATGCAAATTATGAAATCACATTTTTCCCTTCATTTGGAAATATTACTCAATAAAATGAAGAAAACACAACATTTATCAATGTTGGCAAGCCGTTATTGTTGTAGCTTATTAGTGGCAAATTAGTCTGAAGCGTAATGAGAATCTTTTATAGAAGGTTTTTTGTTTTTTTCTCAGATGACTTGCATTTGGTTAGTTAAAATTATAGGAATGTTATCAACAGTGGGTGGAGCTTAGGGCATGGTGAAGATATGTTTAGCTTGAAAAACTCCAAGCAAAATAACAACTACCTCTACTGGCACTCCTTCCCTCTCCCCAAGTAGTCAAAAACTGGTTTAGAATGAATTTACTTCTTACCTGGGGTCTGACAGGTGCCTCTCCGACTCCACTAAAGATAGATTAAAACAGGAAGCACTCTGTCTGAGTTAAGCCCAGTTGTGCAAGGCTCGGCTGACTGGCTGCGAGCAATCGGGTGATGGACTCAATGAGCTACATTGCAGGGCTTAGCTCAGACAAGCTAACAGAAGTTTCTAATCAGAATCAGAAGAAGGTGAGAGGATGCAGGGGGCATTGCCTAGCAGTCCCTAGGTAAAAACGGTTTGGCTACTTACAGTGATAGTGTTTGGATACATAAGGTAACGTTTCAGTTGTCTGTGGGAAATCCTAGAAGAGACAGCAGAAACAGATGGTAATGTTAAAGGCACACTATAGTCACAAGAACAACTACAGCTTAATGTAGTTGTTCTGGTGAGTATAATCATCCCCAATAGATATTTTCATGTAAACACTGCCTTTTTCAGAGAAAAAGCAGTGTTTACATTGCCCCCTAGGGACACCTCCAGTGGCCACTACTTTAATGGCCACTGGATGTGCTTCCTGGGGCAGTGATGCACAGTGTGCAGCACTGATGTTCAGTGTCTTCACACGTTGCATGGAGACGCTGAATATTTCTCATAGAGATGCATTGATTTAATGCATCTCTGTGAGAAGGTGCTGTTTTCCAAGTTGGTGTTTGGCCCCACCTGTGTCCCGCCTCCTTACCGATTTCAGCCAATTCAATGCTTTACCTATGGGAAAGCATTGGAGTGGTTGAAATCATAAATTCTGATGATGTGAGGTAGAAGCGGATCGGGGTCAAGACCAGTGCGCCGCTGGAAATAAGTACGTTTTGTTACGGTTATGGGGGTAGGGAGGAGGGACAAGCCACCTTAATGGTGGTTTGAACACTATAGGGTCAGGAATAAATGTTTGTTTTCCAGGCCCTATAGTGTTCATTTAAATTTGAAAAGCATTAGGCTTTTCTGAGATACTGGAATCCAAAAAGTGTTCTAAGGATTCCAAGAGAAAAGAGTAATAGCAGAAAAGTAAAGGACTGGTGCACGTGGAAATACTAATGGATAGTTGAATGAAATCTGAGTATTTAAAGAACATTAAGAATGATTTGGATAAGTATGACGTAAGCCCCGTTAGAGCTGTATCAAAAGTACTTTTGAAACAAAGCAGATCAAGATGACCGCAAATAATTCCAGGACAGTTGGTGAATAGCACTGTTTAGATGAAGCAAACCAATCTCTAGAAAAACAAGATGATCTCTGTAGAGTGAATATAAGACTAAAGTTGTCAAAATGTTCACTAGAATACAGTGGTTATGCAGAAATTAGAATTGTGTCAATAGTGAAACTAGACAGATTTTAAAAAGGTTTATCTACTAGGATGTTCTAGTTCTTTCTTTAATGAAGAGATGATCTCAGCATTTTTTTCATAGCAATTTGTGACTGCTGGCAGTGGATTGATGTCTAAAAATAACCTCAACATCCCTTTCTGCTAAAATCATCTTCTTGTTGGGATACAAAGATATAACCTTGCCACATCTCTCAGTAAATGCACTATTAAAGTTTATAGCTTTTACTTAATTTGTTAAAATGACAGGGGTCAGATGTTTGAGACATATAGTTCTAATCAAAATTATTCAACCCCCATTGAAAATCAGGTTTATTGTCAAAATTGACAGACTTTCAACTGTTTGCAATGAACAGATCAAACTAAAGCAATTGAAATAGCTCAACACAACAAATGTGTCAAGTGGTTTTCTCAAATTCAACTGAAATTGCAATTTATGACTTATCCAGTCTCAAATTATTCAACCCTTTCATGGAAAGCATCTAAGTAGTACTTAGTAGAGCACCCTTTTGCTGTTATGACCTGCTGCAATCAAGATGCATAGCCAGACACCAGCTTCTGGCAGCATTCCTGTGGAATCTTAGCCCATTGCTCATGAGCAATTGCCTCCAGTTCAGTAATATTCCTGAGTGTTCTTTTTAGCATATGCTTAAAGGACCACTATAGTGCCAGGAAAACATACTTATTTTCCTGGCACTATAGTGCCCTGAGGGTGCCCCCACCCTGGGGAGAGGAGGGAGAGGAGGGAGAGGAAAGGGGAGAGGAAAGGGGTAAAAACTTACCTTTTTCCAGCGCTGGCTGGGGAGCTCTCCTCCTCCGATCCTCCTCTGTTCCTCCCATTCGGCTGAATGCGCATGCGCGGCAAGAGCTGCGCGCGCATTCAACCGGTCGCATAGGAAAGCATTTGCAATGCTTTCCTATGGATGCTTGCGTGCTCTCACTGTGATTTTCACAGTGAGAATCACGCAAGCGCCTCTAGCGGCTTTCAATGAGACAGCCGCTAGAGGAATTGGAGGAAGGATTAACCCATTTGTAAACATAGCAGTTTCTCTGAAACTGCTATGTTTATAAAAAAAATGGGTTAATCCTAGCTGAACCTGGCACCCAGACCACTTCATTAAGCTGAAGTGGTCTGGGTGCCTAGAGTGGTCCTTTAATTCTTCTTCCTCCAGACATAGCTCTGATCCATTTGGCAGAAAAGTTCAATTTTTGCTTTATCGCTCTACAGAACTGAATTCCAAAACTTCTGTGGCTTATTTATATGATTTTGAGCATATTGGAACAGACTTTTCTTGTGCTTTTGGGTCAGTAGTAGTGTACGTCTTGGCGTTCTGGCATGGAAACCTTGTGCATTTAGTACACAAATGCTCACTGAAACCTCAGTGCCTGTTGCCACCAAGTCTTGCTGCAGGCCTTTTGCACTCATTTAAGGGTTGTTTACATCCTGCCTTCTCAGAAATCAGGTTGCTGTCATTGATAGCTTACTTTTTCTGCCATGTCTAGGTAGTGTAACCATTGTTACTTCAATTTTGAACTTGCAAACTATGCTTCCAACGGAGTCTCTTGGTAAATGCAGTGCCTTCACACTATGTTTTTGTATCCTGTTACTTGTTTGTAAACGACAGTGATCTCTTCTTTTAACCCCTTCAGGACGGGTGACGGACGAGGTCCGTCACAGAGGGGAGACCCTTAACGACGGGTGACGGACCTCGTCCGTCACGCGGTAAAATTAACCCCGGATCGCCGCTATCGCGGCGATCGCGGGGTTAATGGTGCTCCCGGTATGCCTCTGCATTAGAGGCATACAGGGAGCACCCGGTCAGTCTGCCCAGCACATGTGCTCGCTCTGACCGCAAGTCTGAGCGAGCACATGTGCTCTCTATACTCACCTACCGGCTCCCTGCACTTCCGGGTTCTGTGTGAAGTGCAGGGAGCCGGATCAGTGCTGATCCTGCCCCCTGCTGTAAAAAAAAATAAAGTTTATTTAAAGTCCCCCCCCCCTTACCCATTTTAATAAAAAATTAACCCCTTCCCTGCCAATTGATCACTGACTACAGTGATCAATTGGCAGGGATTACATTTTACTATGAAATGATTTTTTTTTTTTTAACCCCTGAGGGTTAATTCT